TCGTCTTGATGATGCGCTTGATTTCGTCGACAACTACTGAGCTGACACACACTATGACTTATCAGAAATGCTGATTCCGCGGGGTTAGTTGCATTCCTTACTCTCTTTTCGGATCAAACTATCGTTTCGGTAGTTGGAGTTGTTGGCATATCGGGCTACCGCGCTGCGACCATCGCCGACGACTCGAAAATCGAATTCTGAGCGCGCAACACGTTAGGATAACTTTAGAACAGTAAATAGACGCCGCACAACTATTCGTACCAAGGAATTCGTGACCGAAACGACCCATATGGCCAGAGCTGTTTGACGAAACGTCATTAGCATCGTTTCGCGACAACCAATTAGACGGGGAAGCGAGAAGAAGTCGTGATGATAGACTTACTAGTATCGCAAGTAGAACGGCTCGTTTGAGGACGTCATTTTTTCTGCTATGGGAAGGCGGCAAGACTGGCTGGTGGTATTACTCAAGTCAAGATTTATCAACTATCACACTTGAGATCGCAAGGCTGAGAAAGAATCGCGGGACCTTGTGGTAGAAGATGTGTGCACGGACCATAGTCGGCGGGGCAGAACAGCTTTACGACAGCGACACCTCCATCAGGTGTAAGACCTTCACCGTCGGCAGCCAACTAAGGCACGCCGCTTTGGAAGTACACTAGCTGTCAACCCAAGACTCAGCTATCAACGAGGCAATGTAACTACACCAGGTCTAAGAGTGGCCTCCTTATGTTTGTCTGAGTCATAAACCATCGTTTAAAAGCATCTGATGGTTTCTTTTTTAGAAGTTACCCTCTCAATCTGCAGTTAAGGATAAAGAAATCATCATTGAATGGGTAGCCTCAAAGTACAAAACTACCCCTTGTAAAATCACGTGATAGTGTCCCTCACATCAAGTCGCTTAGTGCCACCTGTTCGACATCGCTGGCAGGACAGATCTTCTTGAAGTTGATGCCGTCCAGAGCTGGTCCAAAATACCACAGGGGATTCTGGTAAGAGCCGATAGCGATTGCGCGCCAGATACCACTCAGCGAATGGCCAAGGCGGATTCTGCTACTCAACCTGACAATTAAAGCTCTAAAGCAGCTTGAACCCCTGAGCTGAGCCTCCCCACCGCCGAAGTCGATACCACCTTTACCTCCAATCCACCTCCAAACGTCCCCCTAAGAGCCACGTCCCATCTACAACAAACACTCCCACCAACTTTCTCGGCCAGCAACTGGCGACACCCTTCAAGATGTCTGGCTTTCTTGAGAATGCGTACAGTCTCGTTCACCAGGACAATGCGGCCGACGTCCCCACCGTTTCCGATCTGCGCATGCAGCTGGAGAAGGGTACCGATGAGACAAAGGTCGAGACTATGAAGCGCATCTTGACCATCATGCTCAATGGCGATCCTATGCCCAGTCTTCTAATGCACATTATCCGTTTCGTCATGCCTTCAAAGTACAAGCCTCTCAAGAAGCTACTTTACTTCTACTACGAAATCTGCCCTAAGCTTGACAGTAGCGGCAAGCTCAAGCAGGAGATGATTCTAGTTTGGTACGGCTACGCCCTTAGTACTACTATTACTTATACGCCATGACATTTGATCGCTGCGATGGGCTTTTGCTGACATCACTCTTGTAGTAACGGTATCCGAAACGATCTTCAACATCCCAACGAATATATCCGAGGAAACACCCTACGCTTCCTTTGCAAATTGAGGGAAGCTGAGCTCATTGAGCCTCTCCTCTCTTCAGCACGATCTTGCCTCGAACACCGACATGCCTATGTCCGAAAAAACGCCGTTTTTGCCATCGCCTCTATTTTCTTGCACTCACCCTCCCTGATTCCAGATGCCGCCGAACTTATTTCGACTTTTCTCGAGGGAGAGAGTGACGGTGTTTGCCGAAGGAATGGTTTTGCCGCTCTCGTCAGCATTGACCACGATGCTGCCCTTGTTTATCTGAGTTCCGTTTTTGAAGGCATTCCCAACGCAGAGGAGCTTCTTCAGCTTGTCGAACTCGAGTTTATTCGCAAGGATGCGGTTCAGAACTCCCAGAACAAGGTTTGTCTGATAGTCACTCACGGCGGAGGCTGAATAGCCACTGACTGTTTGATAGGCACGTTATCTGCGATTGATCTTCGACCTGCTAGAAGCTGGCGCTTCAACTGTCGTATACGAAGCTGCCTCATCTCTTACTGCTCTAACCAACAACCCTGTTGCAGTGAAGGCTGCCGCCGCCAAGTTCATTGAGCTGAGCATCAAGGAAGCCGATAACAATGTCAAGCTGATTGTTCTTGACCGAGTCGATCAATTGCGCAAGAAGAACGAGGGTGTCCTTGATGACCTGACCATGGAGATTCTCCGAGTTCTGTCCAGTACCGACATCGATGTCCGACGAAAGGCTCTTGGTCTTGCTCTTGAGATGGTATCCAGCAAGAATGTGGAAGAGGTTGTCCTCTTGCTCAAGAAGGAACTTTCCAAGACAGTCGACCAAGAATACGAGAAGAACACCGAGTACCGATCTCTCCTTATCCATTCTATTCATCAATGCGCAATCAAGTTTTCCGAGGTCGCAGCGAGTGTCGTGGAGCTGCTTATGGATTTTATTGCCGACTTCAACAACGCTTCCGCTGTCGATGTTATCAACTTTGTCAAGGAAGTTGTTGAAAAGTTCCCCAATCTGCGTACTACCATCATTGAGCGGCTTGTCTCCACCCTGGGTGAGGTCCGAGCTGGCAAAGTGTACCGTGGCATTATGTGGATCATTGGTGAGTACTCTCTTGAAGAGAAGGACATCCGAGAGGCTTGGAAGAGGATACGAGCTAGTCTCGGCGAGATGCCCATTCTCGCATCGGAGCAACGTCTATTGGATTCTCATGACACCGAGGAGCAGACCGACGATCACATCAACGGAGCATCGAAGCCGGCCGCGCCATCTGGCTCACGCAAGGTCCTGGCTGATGGCACATATGCTACCGAGACTGCTCTTACCAGCCAGTCTTCAGCAGCTGCCAAGTTAGAGGCCGTCAAGACTGCCCAGAAGCCTCCTCTCCGCCAGCTTATTCTTGATGGAGACTACTATCTGGCCACTGTTCTGTCATCTACTCTCGTCAAGCTTGTGATGCGACATCATGAGATTTCCTCGGACCAGGCTCGAACTAACGCCCTCCGGGCTGAGGCCATGCTGATTATGATTTCTATCATTCGAGTTGGACAATCTCAATTTGTCAAAGCCCCCATTGATGAGGACTCTGTGGACCGAATCATGTCATGTGTACGATCCTTGGCCGAGTTCGAGCAGAAGAAGGAGCTTGAGACCGTTTGGTTGGATGATACCCGCAAGGCCTTCCGAGCCATGGTCCAGGTGGAGGAGAAGAAGCGAGCTGCCAAGGAGGCCTTCGAGAAGGCTAAGACTGCTGTGCAGGTTGACGACGTTGTCCAAATTCGACAACTAGCCAAGAAGAACACCACTGAAGGCCTCGATGAGATCGAGGTGGATCTGGAGAGGGCAACTGGTGGTGAGGGCACCGCTGAAGACCTGTCTTCCAAGCTTAGCCGTGTGGTTCAGTTGACCGGATTCTCAGACCCCGTGTATGCTGAGGCATATGTCAAGGTTCACCAGTTCGACATTGTTCTCGATGTCCTTCTTGTCAACCAGACAACAGAGACACTTCAAAACCTCTCAGTCGAGTTCGCCACGCTTGGTGACCTAAAGGTTGTCGAGCGACCTACTACGCAGAACCTGGGCCCTCATGACTTCCACAACGTGCAATGCACAATCAAGGTCTCATCAACAGACACTGGTGTCATCTTTGGTAACGTCGTGTATGACGGTGCCCACTCTACTGATACTAATGTCGTTATTCTCAACGACCTACACGTCGATATCATGGACTACATCCAGCCCGCCACTTGCACGGAGACCCAATTCCGCACTATGTGGACTGAATTCGAGTGGGAGAACAAGGTCAACATTAACTCCAAGGCCAAGTCGCTACGTGACTTCCTCGACCAGCTTATGGCCTGCACAAATATGAACTGCCTAACACCAGAGGCCAGCCTCAAGGGCGACTGTCAATTCCTGAGTGCCAATCTTTACGCCAGGAGTGTGTTTGGTAAGTGATTCTAGTCCCTGGTAATGATTGGATTGTGCTAACCATGGACTTAGGCGAGGATGCTCTCGCTAACCTGAGCATTGAGAAGGAGGGCGAGGATGGACCCATCACTGGTTTCGTCAGAATAAGAAGTCGATCACAAGGCTTGGCACTGAGCTTGGGCTCTTTGAAGGGACTTAACAAGATCGGGTCCACAGCTTAGGTCGGCTGATATACGTACAAACACCTGGATCTAATTATACGTGAAGGGTTGTCTCAGCATTGCAAGATTCATGACGATGGTTGGGAGTCAGGGTCGGAGCATGTTAATGGGTGTTTTCCCACCAAAAGGTTGTGCGATGGGTCCCTGGTAGAGTTCATTGTAAGCAGGTTTAGGTAGACGTTGATTACAAAGGCACATGGTTTCATACAGGGTCACAGTCAGAGGCAGTAGCTATCACGAAGTATGGTTGCATAGCCAGGCTTTCTCGTTCAGAACAGGGAAAAGTGATATTAGCGAGGGGCTTGCCGAACTTATGTTGGGTGCCCTGTCGGGTGCCTTGTTGGGCTCATACGCACGTGTATAGTAAGAACAACGGCTGTTAATAGTATCCAAAATCAATCTCGACACGAAGGGACAAGAGAGGAATGTAAGTGATGGGGAAATCATCGCTCGACCAGCAGCATCCACCAACTCCAAAAGACACAGATGTGGTAAAAGCAGGATAAAAACGATATAGGGTATTGTCCAAAAATGGCCGACCGTAGCGGATCAATAAAAGGCATAGCTGCCATTGAGATAAGTTGACGATGAGAGTGAAGGATTTGGCCAAGACAAAAGTTCAGGGACCATGTTGCTTCTGTCTGGCGCTGGGATGACATGACAGCGGTAGGGTAGGGTAGGGTAGAGCAGGGCACGATCAAATGTCAAAGACAAGGGCATTGACGACATGGCCAGTTTGCCAGTTTTGTGCCGTAAGAGACAGATTGTCCTTAAGAATCTTACCCATGTATGCTATCCTGATCTTCTTGGTCGACGCAAGCTGGGAGTCGTTAGCATTCTGTTTGCTCCCATCGCCGGAGAATAGGCAAGGTACTTACGCCAGCCTCGAGAGCAATCTTTTTGGCTACACTACGAACAGTATCCGACTCATATATGGCGACATTGATATCTTGGCCGTTCTCACTGAGCCTGGCTCGTAGTTTGACTGTCTCTTGGGCATCGTCCACCTCTTTGCCCTTTTCTTGTTTCTTGCCCTCCATCTCTTCGTCGCTCAGTTCTTCATCCGCTGCTGTATCGTCGCCAGCATTTGAGACATTGCTCTTTGCGCCGTCTTCTCGATCCTCCTGCACATTCAGCGGATCACAAACAACCCATTCCGGCAATTGATAGTAGTTTCCTAGAGAGTCGTAGACGCCATTGGAGAGGTTGCCAGTTGGTAGAGAGATCTCAGCAGCGGACAGAATCATCTGAGCCGTCGCAAGGCCATTGGATCCGTCGTCTTGCGCGTCCTGGCCCTCTGGATCCCACAAGACAGCCAGCGCCGCATGAATAGTCTGCCATATCTCGGGCCTGCCGGTGACTCTTGTGTCAAAGAAGGCAGCTCGTTCCTTTATCAATTCGCTCTTGGTCCATGTGCGATCGCGTGAGGTCCACTCGTGTCGTCGCAAAGGCTTATCGATATGCTGATCCAGGGGACGGTTGTTGCGACGGTGCTGGCGACGTCTTTCGGCGGGGATTTGCGGTTGAGCAGCTTCTGGGAGTGCCAGCGGGGGAGGATTGATAGCGCGGGACGAAGCGTTGGGTGCGCCACCTGGGTAGGGAGAGTTGGGACCCGAAGAACGAGAGAGGCAGCAGCCCTAGAAGTGGAATGTTAGAGGTGATGGCATGTTTATGTTGCAAGCAGAGAAGAGCCGGACCATGTTTGCTACAAGGGGCGAGCGACGATCGCCGTTGACCTGTGGATTGAAGGTCTTGTTAAGGAATGAGGATCCCAACTTTAGTGACTAGCCATCGCAGGCCAAAGTAAGGTCGCAGATCTATCAGATCAGATCAGATAGGACAGCCAGTGCAGTGTAGTATAGTGCAGCGTATTTGGCGGGTGTAGAAGATGTCGCAGTTGAATGATTGACTGACTGACTGAACGAAAGAGGAGCAGGAGATGGACGCTGAGGAGATGGACGCACGAAAGAGGCGCAGAGAGAAGACGAAGGATGTACTAAGTATTATGTATGAGAATAATGGATGTGTATGTGTATGCGTATGCGTATGATGTGAATGGTTATAGACGGGAGCCGAGTTTTGTTGGCTGGGCTTTGCTTTGCTTCTGGGGTCGCCGAACCTATCGCCTCTTCCTTTCGGGGGGCCTTCCCACCAAAAGTCACGGCCTGGCCAGACCCGACCAGGCTAGGTAGAGCAGACCAGGGGCCGGGGGAGGCGTAGAAGCGGGACAAACTTGGAGCTTAAAAAAAGGAGCCGGCCGGACTATGTAAGACAAGGAAGAAGAAATGTTGCTATTGTTGGCTAATCTTTATTTGGTTCAGGGTGATCAAGTTTGAATCTCGGTCGAGTAAAAGAGGAGTGAGAGGTGCAATGCTGTATTCAATTGCTTGTTCTATCTGGTTCAGTCAATGACTTGCTGATCATTGATTGATTGATTGATTGATTGATTGATTGATTGATTGCATGGCCTGGCCTGGCAGGGATCAATTCACAGGGAGATACATAGACTAGATATTGGTCAAGGTGACGAAAGATTAAGCTCAAGTCGTCAGTCAAAGAACCGGGGGAGACGCGGCCTTTTATGTAGTATGATGCACACGATGTGCTGGAGAGCTTGGTACGTGCCAAGCGTGCCTCTACGGCTTCAGCCAAGAAACTCGAGGAACTCGTAATCACAGGATAAGGTACTAGTAGGTAATTCATCAGTAGCTCAGTGTAGATTACTGGAGGTAGGGTACCTAACTAGGTATCACCAAGTTGAGTCTCGCTGGTAGGCGGGGTTTTGTATGAGCAGACCAGGCAGGGGTTCCCAGAGATTGATTATTAACTACTAAACTATACTAATGACGATCTTGTCTTATAGATCTCGTGCTTCTCAGATGCAACACCATGGCCATGTCCAGGAATGCCCTTGTTTACTGTGCAACACTGCCATCTACCTAATCTTGACTACCTTACTTGTCTACTCACAGATAACTAACTCCCTTAGTTAGTAGGTAGGACTCAATGTCCAAGACAGACCCTGCCTATTTTTGCAGGAGGAATCTTCAGCAGGTTTTCTATAGTGTAGGTACTCACTCGCCTTGACATTCACCGAAGCAGGGGCCAATCAGCATGTGGCTTTTACTTGACAGGCACCCACCAACTCAGTTTCAGTGCTTCACCGTGGGCTCCAACTCTTCAGGCTCGACATGTTTGCTTTACACCAGACAGAGATGAATAACCCGTGTTCTTTTTACTCTTCTCAGACAACGGCTCTGAATTTCATCCAATAATACATGTTTCCCACCTTTCGTTTTCTTTGTCTCGCTTTCTTACCATCAACACAGCATTGCACCGTCTCTGAGCCAAAAACAAACAAACCATCCTCTCTAGTAACACTGCACAATCAACAATGGCTGCGATGCTAAAGGCCACAGAACGCCATTTCTACTTCCACGGCAGAGAAGTACGTACTCACCCAATCTCATGTCGGTTATAGCTATGACTAATGGATCCAACCTGCAGGGCTATGAAGTAGAGCGCAATAATTGTCACTGGTGTCAGATTCGCGCTTTTCCGACTCACTCAACACTCCCAGTGACAGTTGTTAACGAACAAGACGATGAGGTACTCCCTGATGACTTTAGATTCATAAACAACGTCGTCCTTGGTAAAGGAGTTGAGCAAGCTGGTGATAGCTTCCGCAGCGGCTGCTCCTGCGCCAAGGACTCAGAGTGCCAATACACAAGTTGTCACTGTCTCGCCGATCTAGAAGACGACGATTCTAGCGATGAAGAGGAGTTCGATGCTTTCGGTGACAAGATAGAGAGAACCACGCCAAAGCCTCGGCGGATAGCATATGCTTACCACTCCCACGGTGCAAAGGCCGGTCTTTTGCGCTCCAAGTTCCATAACTCAAAAATGCCCATCTATGAGTGTCACCAGAGCTGCTCCTGTAGTATAGACTGCCCAAATCGCGTCGTCGAGCGCGGCAGAACGATTCCTTTGGAGATATTCCGCACCCCAGACCGCGGATGGGGTGAGTGTCATTCTCATCTTTGACTAGTGAACAATTCACTGACCAAAACAATAGGAGTGAGATCTCCCGTGTCAATTAAGAAAGGCCAGTTCGTCGACCGATATCTCGGTGAGATCATCACATCCAATGAAGCAGATCGACGGCGCTCACAGTCTGTTATCTCTCAACGTAAGGATGTTTACCTCTTCGCTCTCGACAAATTCACAGATCCCGACTCATTCGACCATCGGCTAAAGGGCCCATCTCTTGAGGTAGACGGCGAATTCATGTCTGGCCCGACGCGATTCGTCAACCATTCTTGTGACCCCAACATGCGAATCTTTGCGCGCGTCGGTGATCATGCTGACAAGCATATTCACGATCTTGCCTTGTTCGCAATCAAGGACATACCTGAGGGTGAGGAGCTTACATTTGATTATGTCGATGGGGTTTCACACGAGGGAGAGGAATCGGGTGGCGACATCGATCATATGACTCGCTGTCTATGTGGAAGCAAGAAGTGCAGGAAGTTCTTGTGGTGATCAATTTTGAACGGCCAGATGAACTTCTTACAAGGGAGGTAGGTATCTGGACGCAACTTGGACGTTAAGTTCATCAACTCCAATCTGCTTTCGAAGTGAGTCGCCTGCACTTGAGCCTACTTAAACATGAAAATAAACATGTCACATTTTACGCCAGTTTCTATAACTGGCTGTCTCCTTGTTCTTTGAAACATGGGAGTGACCCAGGGGCTGACCAGACTCGGTTCCTTTGTGAACATATCCGCGTTCTTTGTTCCCCGTCGTTCTTTGAGAAGAGCTCGGAACAATGCTTTTCAGGCTTTCGTCTCGCATTGGGTGTTGAATTGACAGTCACAAGGTACAGTGAACGTTGGGAAATGGTGTTCATATAAGTTTTCCCATCCATTCCCGAGATTTTACGACTCTGCCACTTCATCCCCCCCCCCTACTGTTGATATTGTCAAATTCATTTCTGTATTCAATTATGGAGCAGTCAAATAATTTACCAAGTCCCATCCCTGTTATCTCTTCATCTCCATCGTCTACTTATGTGAACTCAGAACCCGTCTCATCGGATGCCCCAAATGACCACCAGGATGGGTCTCAACAACCAGAGAATGATGGTAATATCAACGAACCTCCAGCCGACCCTCAGGGGCCGCCTCTATGGCCTCGTGGCTGTATCTCAGGCATTCTGGAAGCCCTCCGTGACAGATCTGAGCCTGTTAAAGAGAAGAAAGCCACCAAAGGCTGGCTTGGTGCAGAAGTTTGCGTCAAGTACCTACTCCGTGTATGCGAAAACACTCCATACAACGGCTCGGGTGGTATTCGCACTAGGCAAGTCTCTCGCTCTCTCCGCCGCTCACGACTCATGCGTCGAGGCTTGATTCGTCGTCAATTTGACAGAGGGAGAGGAAATCCGTCCGTCAACTGGTGCAACAAAGAGCAGTGCGACTACGAATTCATCATCTTCACAAACCCTATTCTCTACCTCGGGAACCGCCCGAAAAGTTCGCAAGGATTGCACGCCGATGTATACTTTCACGACTTTGCTAATGCCATGGTCATGAAGCTCTTTGCCCCTGAGGACAGCAAGGCCAAGAGGCGTAAGGCCCTAGAGATATTGTCTTTCGTAGATTCTCCCCCTGTCCGAGTTGCATTCTCTCACTTCATGGAGTGGTACAACTTGCTGGGCTTCACACTCTCTGATCGCCAATTCAGTCGAGCTCTGGCTGCGGTTCAGCCAGTGTTCCAGGGTCTCATGTTTGGGGTCAGGACAGCAGCGAGGGTTGATGCCATTCATGAATACATCCTCCCTGAAACCGAAGACATGAAGCAATGGACTCCTAGCCAGCTCATCCTACGCTTTCTCGTCTGGTGCGAAATATGGCGACAGCAAAAGACATCCCGCTCAGAATCGTGGAAGCTCGGTTCCAGTAGAACGGCGACCGACTTTCTTACTGCCATGCTTCTCAACTACAAGATGATGTGGCGAGAAGGCTGTTTGCAAACAAGCACCACCGAAACGAACTTGGTTTGGGATCGAGTTTGGGATGATTGGTTACGCAAATACTCCCTACAGGGAATAGACGAGGTTGTCAATGGCGAGTTCTTCTATCCCCGAGATCAGCTAGACATGTCGGAGGAAGAGGTTTATCGAGAAGTGGGATATCTTGGAGGTATTGGTCAATGCGATGATGTTTATAGGCCCGTCAGGTGTTTTTTAGGATATGCAGAGGATAGACTGATGCATTTATGAGATGTTGGGTTCAAGAGGAGACCTTCTAATAGGAACAAAGGGTAGATAGATGAATTTGGATATTTTGTCCTTCCTTTATCAATGTTGTTATTTGACACTTGCAAGTCTCATACGTATTGGCTCAGGGTAAGACTTGAGCTTCAAACAACCCTTCTCTCCTCTTACTCAGCCTCTGTTCAGGGCCAGCCTGACCATGCTGTTCGTAAATCTCAAGCTGCAAGATGTTAAGGGCAACTTTCGGGGTGCTGGAAATGCGTACCCTATGAATCGGATAGCCGAGTTGGGGAATTCATTTGCTCTCAGCTATTGGGGGGCCTAGTTTTTCCCTCTGGCTAAGAAGCCATGCCTCAGCCGCTGCTTCGTCTGCCTCCTCATGATCAAGTTGCCATTCAAGCAGGCCTTCAATTGCCCTGGCAAGGAATTTCCCTCCCTGCTTGACCCCAAGAGCCTTTTTCATGGCGTTTCCATCCAAAATTGGCCTCAACGACGAAACCGAATCCAGCCTTTGTTTCTGGGCAAGTGAGAGCAGGGCTTCGTGTCTCTGTAAAACCTTATGGATGTCCTCCTGACTCGGGTCTTGAGATTCCGGTTGTGGCCTCAAGTATACTATCTCTCCAAGAGCCGAGAAAAGAACCTGTAAGCCCCAGAAAAGCCCCCATTTTCGGATCCTCATACCAATCGTGCCCCGGGATGGAATAGAGCTGACAACCAGTTCTGTAGTGGATTGAATAGATTCTAAGTTCCCTAGCGACGATTCGATAAGCTTGTAAAGTTGCCTGGTGCCCTTCAGGGCATTTGTAACTTCGTCAACGGCAAGCCTATGATCCTTGGTATTTAGCCCTGCTAACGGAGCATAAATGACCATCGCCCAAAACATGTCTTGCTGTTTCTCAGATTCCATCAAAGACCAAAATTCTCGTGCTGGATCCTGCGCTAACATCGTGATAGCGTTGATTGCCCGAGACCAAGTGGGTGGCCATGGCCTGTCGGGTTCCTGGGGGAGGAGATGACGAAGGGGCTCATGCAGAGGAGAGCGCAACGACAGGAAGACAGTTCCATAAAGATTGGCCTCATGAATTAAGGAAAAAGATAGCTCGGGGTTCTGGTTCTTCATCATTTTAAAGACTTCGATCCCAACTCTCTCTCGGCTGACATTCTCGTCTAGAGCAACGTGAATTTCGTGCTCTTTGATGCAGCTCAGAGCCTCGGAATCAAGAGCGAAACCGAGTTTGCTGCCTATGCCAATGAGACGTAGCACACGCAAAGGATCGTCGAGAAAGGTCTGCCTCGGCTCGAGTGGTGTCCGTATTATGCCAGCATACAGGTCATCCAGGCCTCTGCGAGTATAAGTCGGCAACCTTTCGATTTTGCAGGTCAAAGAACAAGGCATTGGCAGTTGCATCACGTCTGAAAGCATCTTCCTCGGCGGTGCCAAACTCCATTTCTGGAGTACGACAATTATCGTCGTAGACCTCCTTGCGCAAGTTGACAAGATCCAGGTCTAAGCCGAAGATTCTTCCAACAGCAGTCTCTAGTTTTTTTTTACTTGTCGAGGTTCTTCTTGGTTGAATGGAACCCATTGAACTGTGTAAACTCGATTCCCAAGTCTAAGGCTCGCTGCCGGTAGGAGGCTTCATTCTGCTTGAGGAACTCTGTCAGAAGACTGCCAAATTGCACACCAGTCATGGTACTGAGAGCGATATCCAAGTCAGAACAGGGGATCCCCAGAAGTGGATCTCTCACCCAGCCACCAGTTATCCATATCTCCAGTTCTTGAGTCACCAACTGTTGTCGACACCCAAGCAGAAGATCGCGGAGCAATTCTTCAGCTGGCAATAAACATATCATTGTTGCTTGGCTGGGAGCCAGTTTTGACGAAGACATTGCAAGATTTCTGTTCATCGATATGCGCCTGGTACCCAGACCGTCTTACTTTGTTCCATCTACAACTTTTTACCTGAAGGTTCCATGGAAGCTGTTTCGAGGTGATGGCATGGAGTTGGGTAGATGAGTCAGAGTTACAAGGGCCGTCTCTCGCAGCCTAGTTAGTCCGTTCTCAAGCAATTGTTATAAAAACAAACCTCCTCACTCTCTACAATTCGTCTAACAACCTATTCAGAAGCAAAAAGTCAATTAGTAGATATAAACAGCAAAAAACATACAACAGCGGGGATTCGCTGGTCGTCACCGACCCAACTACTAATCCGCCGGTTAGTGGCTTGACTATGGGAGAGCAGACGGGATCCCGCATTTTCAACTACCTATGGTCGTATGTATCAGTCACAGTAACAAATCGGCTTATAACCGCGGGTTTACAGCATGGATAGTACGAGATCATCATGGACTACATGCCCATTCTCGTCCACTCGATGGTCTATGTATATATGGCCAGTGTCTCCTTGAGCTTCGCTCTTGTTGGTCAAACTCCCGTTCATGTTGATACCCAATCTGTGTCTTTATGCTGCAACCGACACGGTTACAACCTTAAGGCGTTGGTATTGAAGTGAAGAGTGAAGCGCTTGTTCGAGGATGTCCCCCTCGCCTCGACATGCAAGGGCTGTTTGCTCAGTTGCTGCATAGTAACCGGGCCGTCTTGAGCTTAATCATGCTGGGAAGAGGCGTGTAACTACCGGTCCGGATTATGGAGACAGACACTCGGCTGCAGGACCTCCGTTTCAGAGAAGAAAAAGAAAATGAATGCTAATTTCTCCTTTGAAATGACATTTCACAAAAAGTGATGGCGTCCGTGAGTTCACAAATCGTGGGGTATAACCAGTATATCAGCCAATAATAAAGGTTGAAAGGTAGCGTCACAGTGGAGGATGTTGATCTGTGACGTGGGGTTGCAGTGTGTGCTTGCCAGGCAGCCAGGTTATCACAAGGTGGTCAGAAAGGGTTCATGTCTCGGTATATCCAGAAGCTCCACGATCTAATTGTGGCAATGAAAATACGGCGCCTGAAAGATGAAGCTGTTGCCGAGAAGAACTGAGCCATGAACTTGCGTGGAGCCGGTAATTGTCTGGGCCGTGTATGGAGCCTGGACCCTTGAATTCTCCATAACGAACGTTAGGGTGAGCCGAATGAGGCTGAACGTGTTGCAAGGAAGGGGGCATTCAATGCAAATGAATGAATGAATGAATGCGGATACGGCGCAAAAGAGGAGTATTTGTTCTGTTGCATTTTGCTGCAATGAGCTTTTGTTACCTGACCTGTCTGATTCTCTGCCTGATGAGCGGTCAGTTGTGAATGCCTGAACAGCAAGACGAGGATCTAGAGGGGTCGATTCGTATGATTGGCGGATCCTAGTATTGCATTATATCCAAGGAAGGAAATTAGCCAAGTGCTGTATCGCGTGAAATGGAAGACGCGGGGAAACGCTACTTTACTCAAAGGGGGTTTATGCGCAGGCGCCATGTTCTAACGTTAGACAGCTTCTGCAGCAGCAGTCCAAGAGACGCGTCTTCAGCTACGTGTTCCTGTATCCGCCCGTAATGTAAGACACAATCTGATGCCAAGGTGAACAAGAGATGTCGTACAGAGAGGGAGATGCGGGGAAAGCGGAAAGTGACCGAAAGGGTGCAACACAGAAACGCATGCTGAGAAAAAGAAAGTAGAAGAAACGCATGTCTCGCCGTGTCTGGTGGTGTGAGAATGAAAGCAGTATTGGAGACGGGGCGAGGTTCATCGAGTTGAGATGTGCAACAGATGCAGATGCAAGATGCACGAGACGCTGGAGGTGGTGCCACTAAAATCGGGGAGAGGGTCAAGTGCAACTCAGCAATAGGTCCAGCCAAAGGAGAAAACAGGAGAATTTCACACAAGAGCCGGCATTATCATCAGGGGACAATCAATGGATGATGGATCTCAGCATTGGAAGAATGACCAGGCCACTCAACCCCCAAGAAAGGCCATGGTGAGGTCATGGTGGTGAGACTGGAGGGTATGCCCCCACTGTTGGCCGTGGATAGGTGCCGTTGTTTGGTGGGAGCTTTACCTTGGTCGAATGTTTTTCAGTGGAATTGAAAGATTGGATCTGGGGCAGATGCCAGAAAATGACAGTGACAGTGACGACGAAAATGTGAGACCCGACTCCAGCCGATAATGGCTTCATTGTGAAGTTGTCGTGGATGCTTTCCATATTCTAGCAATCCTATGCGTTTGCCTGCTCATGCTCAGTAGGCCTCAATCTTGTCGGTCAAGGAATCAACAACACATCAATTCTCTTCACAGAGGCACAAGCCAGTGAAATAGAACAAGACCAAAGAACCCCCCAACCAATACAATCCTTCTCGACCCCGCCATAATTCAAGCTCATCCCGCATCGTGCCACACGCTAACACTAAACGCCCACTCCCGCTCCATCCACAGCTTTCCCCACTTCACCATCAGAGCGTGTGTGTGCTCTAGTACCTTTACGCTTTTGGGCATTTTCCACAGCGGGATCATCCCCTAAGGTCCCCCTTCTGTGGAGGCAAGTTTAGTCGGGCTTCCAGGCACCTGATCGCTGTTCGGCTTCTGTGCCGCTCCTCTCCATCTCTGCCACTCTGCTCTGGGGGCGGCGGCGCACTCACACCCCCGCCCCACTGCCTCCACTGCCCTGTCTGTGTCTGAACTTCAAGGCTCAATTCTCTCTGGCTATCGCCCATCGCCGGCATCCCCAAGGCGTCTTGTCGTTCGATCATGACCCCAGTTCGTCAAGGTACATACAGTACACATTGTCCAAGTCCGGGGTTCTAGTTAGCCGGAGATGCACTACACTTGACGTAGCAACACATACATAGAATACCTACCTACCTAGACTAAGGCAGCTGGCACATTTCTCACTCGAAACAATTATCAGGAGAGACAACTTATAATAACTCTCCTCCGCTCTATTCTCCCCCCAACGGTTTTCCCGTTTCCTCCTCCCATCATTAGACTAGTTCAAGCACGGATTACTATTACCGAGTTACATCCAACTCACCTTGCCTTACCTGCCAACCCTTGCCGAGTCCTAAACAGACACAAACCTTCACACAACCAACCTTGTTCTCCTCCTCTTCCTCCTTCACAATGATGCGTGTTCCTCGACAATCCTTTTCCACTGCCGCCCGTATCCATCCCAACATTGTTCCTCACCTTCGTCCCCAGAAGAGAATGTCCTTTGGAAAGCTGTAAGTGTCATATACTACACTACTTAGTGTCACACGACACCACTGGATGCTGACCATCAATTACAGGGTCAAGCCCGTCGCGGCTGTTGTGGCTATTGGGTACGGAGCAAAGCTATCACTCGAGATGGCCCAAAGACGACGCATCGCTCAGATGGAAGCCATGGAGCGCGAGAATGCAGCATACCGAGAGCGAAATGAGGCTCTCATGAATATGTACGGCGATCGATCAAGCCTCGACGAACTCGAAAAGGCCGTTCAATATTACGAGAAGCGATAAATGAATCCACCCGAGGACGAAACAAAGAAAAACAGGAAAATAAAAACACCAAAGTGTCGGGCTTTACTACAAACAACACACTTCTCTCATTTTATTTGCTTGAAGCGACGACGGCGATACCTCCCCCGGAGATGTGTCGGAGTTTACTGGTTCGGCTTTGACGACCACCTAAAGCCTTGGAATACTGCATTGGACCGGCGTTTAAAGGAATACCATCTTGCTGCTTGGGATTATTGTTCGGAAGGAAAATTCACCTGGTTGGCTTTCATCAGGATCCCACATTTATCTCACGACCTAGCGACAGATTTGCCGTACGAAAGACTACACTGCACTGCAATACACTACTTGGGTATAGAAATATCCCATTTTACAGGTCACAACCATTCTCTCATCCACACACGTTGTCTTATTGTTCTTCCTCGATCAACTGTTTTGTCTGTTGTTCGCCCAGTCCCACATGCTCATGCCTTGAATTTTCACATTCAACTCGACCCAAAACGTCATGAGCCTCGCTGGATCACAGGCCGAGGTTTCCCGGCGGCTAATGAGCCCCGACCCAACACCCCCGAAGGCCCCACTCCCGACGATTTAGCCGGTCCCTGGCCCGAAGAACCCCTATCAGCTCAGAGGAACACTTCCGAGGACTTGTCTCTGACGTTGCCCATGCGCGGTGATTGATGTCCATTACGTCCTCGTTTGTCCCGGTGGTCATCTTCCGCGATTTCATGCGACGTTGATACGATAAGACTTTTTCGTCTGGGCAAGGTTGTCCAATTTTAAGCCGAGAAATACCTCAGTTCAATGAATAAGAGAATTGGTTTATTGCCGCGGAGGTGGTTGGATAAATCTGAGAGGAGCGAGTGTCAGGGATGGGCCTAATGACTTTGGGAATGAACAAACAATAGCCAAGCAATAAACAAAATGTAAACTGAAAATCAAGCAGACAGCAAACTACCTAGTCAAATGTGAGGTTTGAGTTTAAAAATAAATAAGGCACGCCAATCATATCCCTTACCGGCTCGCCAATCTACCTGTTTATGCGAGGTCCCGATGTTGTTCAATCATAAGATACACCTCGACCAACTCACACCCCGAACCACTGAACATGAAGCTCTGCAGCGGCAACTAGAGCAATGCTAATTGAGCTCTTTCGCGGGATATGTCATCATGTCACGTTCTTGAACAGTCTCATTTCACTTGCTCACCAGCGACTGGTCACGCTGCATCTGCATGCATCCTTCACAATGGTTCCAAATATCATCACCCATGGCATCATCATATCATCATATCATTATATCATCATTGGGGTACTCTTCGTCGAGTATTTCTCGAATAGCCATAACTTTGTTTCTGAAGAAGCTCATCCTCTTCTTCTCTCGTTGTGAGGGTTGTCTTCCTAGGCAATGCCCGGACCAGCCCACTCCTTGCGTTTGAGTTTACGGCTGGCCTGAAGCTCTTGGAGCTTCGTCGCGAAGCCGCGAGAAACATGGCCAATGAACTTGGGACGATCACGAAGGTCCTCCATGGTCTCAATCCAAGCTTTGTAGCTGACCCCCTCGCAGAAGTAGGTGATCATCCGGTCGCCAATCTCAACCTGGGTGCCGTGCTGCATGTCAAGAGCCTCGTAGCCGTCGGCAAAGTCGCGCATGAGTAGTTTCTGCGTTCCTTGGTCGGCCTCAGTACGGTAGAGGGCGCGGTGCCCATTGCCGATGGCGACGTCAATGCAGCGGGCAATAAATTCACCCATACTGGGGCTGATGAAGCGGTCGCAAAGCTTATAGACTTCGACATAGTCTCGCATAGGAGTCTTGATAGGTGCTGCCTCGGGATTCTGGGCAGGACGGGGATGCGCATGTGGGACAATAGAGGAGTGACTGTAGGCGACCCCAATGTAGAGACCTAGGTATCGCGGCTCGATGTCCTCGTCATTGAATTCAACGCCTCCCTTCTTGGCCTCGGCAAAGCGACCGTTGAGGCAGCTTTCGAAGTACTCCGAGTTCTTGGTCAGGACGTTCTTGGCGACTTGGAAAATTTCGCCTTTCACCTTGAGCTCGACTAGCTGCTCATCATTCCTGTGCATGCATATAGGTCAGCGACTCTTGTTCCCCAGCGCAAGATTTGAATCGCCTCTGAGCTTGAGGCGAAAGAGAAGCGCATACTTAAGAAGCCAGGAGGTGCGAAAGTCCGTGAGAATGCCAGCAGACTGCTCATCGGCAGGGTCCTCCTTCGGACCAACACGGGTACGGGGTTTCTTTCGCGGAGGTGCCATGGCGATATCAGAAGGAGTGGTTTTACTTAATTGGGGTGCGTGAGGATCAAAAGGGAATCCAGTCGAGTGCGCTTTCACTTTGCAAGTGATGCAGAGAAGGCGAAGAGAGCAGAATCTTGTCGTGAAGCAAGGTGTAGTTTGATGTTGCTAGCCATCGCTCGCAGCGATGCTCAAGTTAACTAGACTTGAAATAATGTAAGTATTCATGAAAATTATCTGCATTCATTTCCAAAATACCTTGGTCGCCAAGTGAGTTCGCGATGATGAGTTGTGGTTGCTAGGTCAGGTTGGTGGAAGAAAACAAACACAGCCTACAGGCCTCAGGTCGGCACTGCTCATTTATTAGTAGGTAAGGAGGCACCGTCTTTGAAACTTGCCAATTCTCAGCCCATCAGGGCCTCCACCGCGTCACCTTCATCGGAATGTGCCTAGTAGGAGAGCAGAGAACAATACCTGCCAGATGTTCGCTAGAGATATATATGAGGCCATGATGATAGGTAATCTGCTGGTTGAGATCCATTATATAGTCAGACATACTCAAGAAACGGCAGTAGAGACCAAAGCTTCAATAGAAGAGTGGTATCGTGAAAGAGAATCGCTGTACATTAGAACTGAAGCAACGGCAAGAGTTAGGTATAAGTGGGTTCCTCAAACCAGACACTGCTCGCACCTGCCGCCAGCAGCCGAGCAAAATGCCAACGCTGCCTGGGATAAGGCTTTCACTTGGCTTTCACTTGGCTCTCACTTTCCGAATCGTGACCTTCTCTTCATCGCCAAGTTCCCATCCAACCTTGTCCTTCTCTTTCAGCTCATCCCACTTGCGACCAGTAGCAAACTCCAAGAAGGGCAGATCCACGTTGAAGTACGACCTTGAAAAGCATTTCAAGGTGTGAAGTCTCAAATCGTCGTCGGCCCACTCCATCAGCTTTAAGCAGTGTCGGCTGACTTGCTTCTTCGAGAACTGCCATGAGACATAGTCGTCGTGTGCCAGCGCCTTGAGTATCCGGTCCAGTTTCTTGTTCCTGATGTTGAAGTCTTGTCTGATGAAATATGCCTCGGTCAGGTCCCTACGCCGACATGCGGCATCCAACATGAAGTAACCGGCGATTTCCTCGATCTCACTATGAACCATAGGTGTCCATATAGCCATGTATCGGAGAAGGTGTAGAATCGCCGGGTGATAAGACTCAGGATGCTTAGCGAGAATGGACAGGCGGATAGAGAAGATGTATGCTTGGATCGAGAAGAGATCGGCTCTTTTTGTAGCCACCAAACCTTCTCGAAGCTTTCTCAATGCCATGAGGACATCCTGCAGAGATTTAGTATTGTCAGGGTCCTCAATAGCTGCCAACATAGAAGTTGATGGTCCACTAGACGGGATGATAGCACGGAGGGCTTTCAGAGTGCCACTCAGCGCAGACGATGCAGGCGATGCGGCAGCATTAGCGGAATCTGATTCGGTAGTTTGAGAAAAACTACCAGCATTTGTAGCTGAAGTCTCAGGGGCTGGTGTCGAAGACGACACTGCTGCAGAAGTTGTCGTGGACGACGGTCTGTATCCAGGTGGAGGTCTGGTGTATGATGTTGCAGGAGTTGGATCAACTGCTCGTATATCGAGAGCTTCGAAACTCCGTATAATTGAGTCCTTATCACCGGCTTCTGTGCAGAAAGCAAGGAAACGTGAAATTATCTGATTATAATACCACTCCTGTGTCTTGGGGTTGAGTAAGCTGCCTCTCGTCAGCTCGTCTCTTGTCTTATGGGAAGTGGTCAATCTCCCGTGTCTGTTAGATAACATTCACCGTCTAGTACGCACCTATCATCACCCTTAGAAGGAAGACCAATACTTTGTAGCGGGTCCTGCTCGACAGGTTTCAATCTCCCCCAGGGGCCCGATGGCATCCTGTTACCTCGACCTCGACGGGCCATATCGGGCACAAATGAGCTTCCCTCGGTATCAGAAAGGAACTTTGACTGAAAATCCAATGCCTTGAGCCTCCAATTAACAGAACTGAGAGCCTTGTTGGTAGCGCGGAGCACAGAGTCTTATCGACTATAAAAGAGGATGAATGAAGTTAGTTGCTGTGAAGACATGAGGTTGACAGTGGGGTAGCTTTCAAGGACCCCGCGATCCACTCACTGTTGGTTCCTGCGTCAGTCTCAGCTTATCACCACCTCATGGTGAGGGCGGAAGGCTAAAAGACTTGATTGTGCCTTGAATAATATGGGACTGTTATTATCTCAAGCGACTACCTTAAGTAGGGGCGAGGCTATCTAAGTGATAACCTAGAAAGCCTAATATATTTTCTCTCCTCTGTTGTCACATCGAAGATTCAATTAATTGCTGGGCTACGCACAGGACCAATCTTATACCGAAAAGCATAATAGGTAACTACTACAGGGCGGTGGGCTCAAACAAATCTCTAATCAGAACTAAATCACTGAATTAAAAAGTGCTACTTCTAAAAGTCTTGCTATGTGCGCATCCTTTTACGTGGGTATCATTATCGCCAGAAAGCCTTTCTTCCCATCTGCTTCCCTAGCCACCACCATTCCAACACGTCATACATCCCATGTCATGTTCTTTTTTCATCCATGGATGCGGTCGGCTAGTGTCACCTTGTCCCAGTTCTTGGGTCCCGCGGCCTCATACTTGCCAGACTTGGAGATTACTCGCCCAAGGCCCTGGTGGATCTCGGCCTGGAAAGGTCCGAATGGGCACTTCTCACCATCAATGCTGATATAGCCATCCTCTTGATCTCGAGGAATGATGCGGTAAGCTGAGATCTTCTTGTAGGTGACATGAGGGTTGTCAAAAAGTTTCTCAGCTTCAACATCAAGAAGGACCTTGATAGCTGTGAAGAAAGGCAGATCACCATCAATAGTGACGAGGTCCATCAAACCATCCGAGATGAGAGAGGCAGCGAAGAAGGGAGCATCGGGTGACATATAAGCCATCTATGACAGTCAGTATTATTCCAAATCTAGGGGCTACTTTGATTACTCACGTTACCGGCGTAGAATGTGCCAACCTTGTCATAGGGGATCAGCTCCCATCCTTCGGGGAGATTGTCTTGGATCGTGCCATACTTCAACGGCGGCAAACCTGCATCTTCAGCCACAGGGTCTGCATCAAGCTTCTTAGCTAGATGATTCAGGCTCGTGGAGCTCGCGTGATGTTTGTAATGAGCCTTGACATCGCTTTTGTCTTCAATCTCCACCTTGACAGCCAGATCAAAGGGATAACACTTCTTCTTAAACATGCGCTGAACGACACCGACCTCGAAACGCGCACTGCCCATCCATCGCATATGTTCCGTGCCAAGATCACACTCGGCTATGAGGCCGAGCGTCTGGGAGAGGAACGAAATGATGCGGTTGTGACCACTGGTGACTGACACCAAGTCCATCGGGGTCACGACACCCTTGATGATGGCAAGTGCAGCGAAAGAAGGTCGATGAGATCCGTACAAGTTACAAGAGAATGCATTTCCCGAACCACAAGGGATATGGCTGACAGGCATCGTAGAAAGCGCTCTGGCAGCATCAGGTCGCTTAGCAAGGCCGTTGAAAATCTCGTGTGGCGTTCCATCACCAGAACATGCCATGATAGTATCGTATCTGGACAGGTCGGCGTTTTGCGCCAGTTCAACGGCTTCTCCACCGTGCTTCAATATCACGGGGTCAATCTGCATCTTTGCCGCCTGGAAGAGCGGCTTCACCTCAGTCTCCCACTGCTTGATAGCACCACCGGGACCGGAGTTCGGGTTGATCAGCACGTAGGCGCGTTTCTGAGACTGCGCATCACCGTAGGCGCGTGTCATGAGGGTCTTGACGAAGATCTCTGCTGGTGTACCGCTGGTCGACTCGTCGTCCTTGGCAAGCGTGAAGACCCATTTCTTAGGCTTGATCAATGTCTTCGAAGCGTGGTGAGCATAGTCGATTATGATCTGGTCGTTGGAGAGCTCAGCCCAAAGGACGTTGTAGAAGGGTATGCTATTGTTGGGAGCGGATTCTGTAGAGAAGCATGATCAGTAAGTGTTTACATGCTGTCTCGTATCACAGTTTTGTATGCTTACTGCCAGAGAAAGGAGCACAGGAGGAGCGAGTTGACTTGTTTGCAGCAGGGTCTGTTAAAGATCAGTCGAGGGCTTGGCGTCATTGTCTTCTCCAAAAGATCCGCACCGTTGAGCTCCAGTTCGTCAATTCCAATGGTCAACTTCTTCTTGTCCTCCAAGAGGAGCAACATTCCAATGCCTTCGTCCATTTTTCGATCAATATCCGTGTTCATTGAAGCTGATGTCAGCCAGCGAGCTTATCGATTGTGTTTTATATCGAACACCTTAAAACGCTAAGGGGCAAAGTGCAAGGGTTAGTTCGATCGTCGCGATTATGATAAATTGATCGCGTACAGAAGCAACAGATTTGAGAAAGAAAATCGAGAAAATGAAGGACTGGGGCAGCTCGCTCTGGCGACATAAAAAGGGAAGACCAAAATCCAAAGCCTCTGATAACGAGCATGTGTTTTGGAATGTTTCCGCAAGGAGTTGCTTCTTAGGATCAATCGGATTACGCGGATGCCCGTTGAGCCTAGGCTGTTGATCTGCGGGGGGTCGCATCCGAGATTACAGACCTAAAGCCCCTGTAAATGCTTGCATTCGCGATGGGCTGGCTGGGCTGGTCAGGTCCCTAAAGAAGTCAATTGCGCGGGCACCTGCTGGCAGCTGACAGCCACAACCAATAGTGAGTGCCAACCTACTGTGCCTGAGTCCCTGACGTGCTGCCTGGAGTGTAAGACTCGGTGGGGCTAGGTATTGTAACTGCCAGGCTGTGCCGCGGTAAGACAACCAGAGATAGTAACCAACTCCACACTAAGCTGTAGTATTCGGTGGCCGCGGAGCCACGAGATATCTTGAAGACGTCGATTTGACTTCGACACAAGGAATGATTGCCCTTTACGGGCTTACCTCATATTTGTCATCACGTTTGATGTAACTAAGATCTCAGTTCCCCAGAGATTAACGGCTTCTTCTTGTTTAGCCAATGTACTCGACCAATGAGGCTGATAGCGGCATGCTTGTTCTACACGATGGATTGATGCTTTAACTTTTCCCCATGTTCCCAAAACTCCATTTCCCCCGCCATCTTCGGAGTCATTCCTTGCGCCAGACTTTCCTTCCTTCTCCTTCCTTAACCCATTTCTAACCTGAACTGGAACACCTCGGAATCGCAGCCTCGGTTACATGCATCTATACGGCCAATGTCATTCAGCATCATCATCTCATGTGCTGAACCCCCACAAACTTTTTAAGTATCAGCAAGTCAGAAAGTAAGCAACGCCCCTTTATGCAAGTCTTGTCACGTCAGGGAACTTCTCCTGGGCCGCCTTCTTGTATGCTTCCACCTGAGAACTCCTCCAGCCCTTGAGCACCTCAAGACCCTCGATGGCGTCCTCATAGGTTACATCAGGGATATCCAAGATGCCAGAGACGGCCTCCTCACTCTTAGCCTTATCTTGGCCCAGTACTCTCTGTGCCTTGATGGCGGAGAGAACGTGTCTAGGGCTACCCTTGTTGGCAGCAAGGAACTCGTCGTTGAACTTGACGAGATCCGTGGAAGGATCCACTGCCTTGAACTCAGTCTTCAGCACCTCTAGAACCTTAAGCTCAATGTCGGTCGCAGTCTTCAATAGTTGAGCGAACGCCACAGTATGTTCATGCACCCTGGGTGACTTGGAGTCAAGTGCTAGGGCAGCTGTGAGACAGCGTAGGGCGAGAATGTACTTCTCTGTAAGAGGAACCGGATCAGTAAATAAATAGTTAAAAAAACTTGGCAATCCATGGCATTATACTTACTGCGGCGCATATAGACCTCGAAGCCAGCGAATTGGGCGTTAATGTTCTTGGGGCTGAATTGTAGTAAGGGGTTAACGAACGTCATGGCGTCCCCGAGAGGGTCGGTGGTTTCGGCGAGTTTCAGTCCGAATGGATCGTCGTCCTGCTTCTTGACTTCCCCATCCTTATCCTTGCCCTTGTTAGGGTCTTGCTTGGCCTGTAACTCGGCAGCCTCTTTTTCGAGGCGCTGCTGCTCCTTTCTAGCCTTCTTAGCGGCCTTCTTCTTAGCCAGAGCATCCTCAGCGTCCTCTCCATCGGCGCCATTGACACCATTTGCGGAAGGCTTATCGGCCAATTTGAGGTAAACTTCAATCGCATCCAGAGCAGCTCTTGAGAAAAAGGGATGATCCCGGACATGGTCTTCCCATCGCATCATATCGATGTAGGCTCGGATCTGGCCCTTGCGCAGAGAGAAGCTGTGGAAATCGAACTGGTCCTCCTGCCACACCTCAAAGATGTTAAAGATTTGCTGGAATCGCTTGAGAGCAAGGGCAATATTGCCTTGGCGAGCATATGCCTCGCCGTCTTCTGTCAAGAACCAGACACTCTGCATATCCAAAAGATCCGCCAAGGGACCGCCAACAGTTTCTGCACGAGTGAAAAGACCGACTGTCTTGAGAGCCTTATCGTTTTCGTTGTTGCGAAGCTGGTACTTGGCTGCCTTGGTGTTAATGTATCTATCCTTAAGATCGAGCTTCCTGGCTCGATCCATTGCCTTGGAGGCTTCTTGTATGTTTCCGCCATGCTTGATGATTCGTGCCTTAGTCATGGCAAAATCAACGCTCTTGGGGTCCTTCTCAATTGCCTTCTCGGCGTACTCCATGGCTTTTGTCAAGTCGCGGCTGAGATGGTAGTTGTAGTGCTGTGCGAGGTAGTACAGTGCTGCCGCTTCTCCTTTATCCTTACTTTCCGAATCAGCACCCTGCGAGTTCAAATAATTCTCGGCCAGTTCACGGAGGGTGTCCTTTTTGAATGAGTCGGAGTAAAGATGCTTCAGATTAGCAAAGGTTGATGGCACTCCCTTGTTAAGCATCAACGTCAAATAGGCCTCAGCAGCCTGCTTGAAGTCGTCGCCTATTGACGAGTTAGTACTGGTGGCTGGCTAGTGTCTTGGTCGGATTTACCTGACAAAAAGTCCAGCGGCAGTCGGCGCGCAGCATCGCAACGGGGGGACTTCTCCGCATACTCGTCATAAATAGCCTTACGAGCCTTGGAATCGTCCTCTGATACCTCCATGACCTCCAAGAGCTTCTGGTAGTATGCAGGGTGCTCCGAGTTGCGGTCAAGGAGAGCCCGGTAGGCCTTGGCAGCTTCCTCCTTCTTGTCCAACTTGTGAAGATACTCGGCGCGAGCCTCCATGACAGCCAATCGATCGAGATTTTGCTTGGCAGCCGTATTGAGATGCTCAAGTGCACGCTCGTAGTCTCCTTGCTCCGCAATTAGAGAGTTCTTGTACATAATTGCTTCTGAGTGCTCATTGTCGAATTTTGAGGGCTTCGCCTTCAGAGTTTCCTCATATGTATTCATGACCTTCTCGGCCTCAGCAGGATTTCCTGAAAGGTGGTGAGCAATGGCGAGAGCAGTCCAGCTTTGGCGCATTTGAGGTCGGGCCTGGAGCATGGCGGTTCGACTTTGGATGTATCCTTGATAGTCGCGGCATTGAATTTGCAGAATAGCCAGGTCGCGCTGAATTTGTGCTGACTCAGGCTCTAGTCGCAGAGCAAACTTGTACGCCTTGATGGCCTCCTCGAAATTCTTGTTTGCCCGGTGCAGTAGGCCATACACGTGCCAGCAGATGTGCGACTTCATATCCATGGTCAAGGCTTCCTTTCCCAATGCAAAGGCTTCTTCTGTCTTTCCCTGGGAGTTCAAAATCAAGGCCTTCATCGCAGTGGTGTCTCCATGTTTCGGATGCTTCTTGAGAATAAGCTCGGCCGACTTGAGACCACGCTTGTATTGCTTGTCCTCATAGTATCGAATAACGGAGCGGAAGAGCGAGGCCTCCTTGGAGGCAAGAGGTTGCGGCATCGTGATTATAGGGAGCAATTTTTGTCTTCGGAGCGTAAAGAAACCCGTAAAGAAGACCGTAAAGAAGTCGTGAGCTAGTTAATTGCGGCCGTCGTCCGTTGTCGGCGAGGATTACAAGCTCCCAGCAGGATCGAATGAGGGGTGTGTGGGAGAGGGGGAGGAAAAGGTACAGAGAAGCTTTGACGATACAAAAATCTCGTCAGGAGATGATGACAGGAGGGCAAAGAAGGGTAAAGAGGCGGCTTCCCTGACCGGCGGTTGTGGAGAGATGTCGTGTAGAGCTCAAGGTGCTGTACCATACGACTTAGGGTCAAAATGATGTGGACAGGAATTGCTACGGTAGACCGGCAATTTCTCGGAGGTCGCCTGTGGTGGGTTGCTGAGTTATGAGGAGTTGGTGGTTTTGGAGGGGCAGTTTAGGATCCATGACAGCATGGAAGCCTCATGGGTGTTGGCAAAGAATGTGATGATGAATAAATGGTTTCATGAGAACAGCGCCATATCACATACAGACTGTATATTCATTGGAAATAAGCATCAAAACGGCAGATCTTTCTTGGCATCTAAGTAAACTTCTGGCACACAGGGCATGCACGCTACACCAAAGCTTACGACGTCTACACTAAATGATGAAATGATTCAGGGAAGTCAGCATACAATCAGAATGGCTCAATGAAGGGTTTACGATGAAGATATCTAGGCAAGCTAGCACAAGATTATTAGAGGGGCTCTTTGAGGATCATATATTACTTTTATACAAGAGGCGTTAATATCGTACAGCAAGTCTCTATCCTTTAGTCCTTCTCTTACAGGTTTCATACTCCAATGGTCGTTGGAGGATCTGAGTGGTGTTTCGTGATATCATAAATTATACATTCACTTTCAAGTTTTTGGCCTTCCTCCATTTGCTGATTGTGTCCTCCCAGTTTTCAAAAGGATCGCCCCCGCATCGTTGCTGTACGACCTCCCACGTCCTATGTCGTACGATGCCCTCTACGCCTCTCTCTTGTCTTACAAGCGAAGCCAGGCGCTCAGTACGTGCTTCACGTGGGAAGAATCTACCAGAATACGGATCTAATCGTTCATCGACTGTTCTATCGCGGTCTTGTTCTTTCTCTAGTTCCCTGATAGTTCGGTCCGGGTCATCAGGGTCCGGGCTTGCAGCTACAAGAGCGCAGTAATTCAGTACTTCAGTCCGGGTCTCCCATGAAGGAAACAGCACTCTCTCCTTGAAATCTAAGCATGGCCGAGGATCAATCTGTTTTGAAATTGGTCTTGGGGCGCGTTGCGATGTGGACGAGGGATCAAATCCGGATCGAGACGGCGTCACAAGTGCATTGAGATTCTGTGTGATTGAATCATCGATGGAAGATCTTGAAAGTCGAAGAAAGTCTGAAAATAAAATAAAAGTAAAAGAGTCAGTCGGGTATTCGAACAGCCGGTACTTTTGACTCGAACATACCTCGCAAAGTGCCATACGAGAAACAGAACTGTGGAGTAAGCTGATGTTGTGTAGATGGTTGAGTCATGTTATTCTTCGGCCGCGAGGAGCTCGGTTTCTGAGCGTCCGGCGAACCCTTCCAGAGTATCCCGGCCAGAATGGGCGGATGTTAAAGTTCAGCTGATTAGAAATTCGAAATAGTTGCTAGCGTAGTAAGCCAGGGAAGTGACTCGCAACGAATCTGAAACAGGGTCGAGTAGAGTCGAGTCGCGTTAGTCGTAAGAAAAATATTGTGAGTGATGGTTGGTTCTATCTCGACTTCAGTGACGCAACTAGAGAGTTAGCCAGAGCTAAGGTCCGGCTGCTTGTATCCGGACTTTCCGGATAAACTCTGGCTCCGCTGACCACTGGATCCTTGCAGAGATCCCCCAGCTTGATCCTGGTAGTCCCGATCCATCACTGCACGACAGAAGCCCCCAGGATATCAAGAGAAAGTTTAGGAGTGATTAGACTTTGAATGCGAGACATTCTAATTCAAGCTAGTTACAACTATGGTTGCTCGTAGTCTCGAGCAGTATCTGAAGCTCTTTCTTTGAATCCGCAACTCTTACACTTATCCTTCACTTTTTGTGTGGGTTCTACTAGAAACAAGCTGACTGGCTTTTGCTCCATCTCATGGGGCTGAAACAAGCTGAGTGAGGGCAATTTATTACTGAACTCTTGATGCACGTCCCGGGTCAAGGCGAGAAGCCAGGAATCCGGGTGACGCCAAGGTGGACACTTTCAGGGCGAGGCACAGATTTTCGCTCTACAAATCCAGGGTCTGCATCTTCTGAATCAGCCTACGACAAACTAATCGGCATTGCTCTTTTTCGCCCGCTGAAGTAAGTTGCCACCGCCGAAAGGAGCCGCGCTACGCTTGTAAATGGGTGGATGGTTATCGCATAGCTTCACCGGGCAGACGGGTTTCCGAAGATCCAATGTTGGCGATGGATTGCGCGGGCAGACGAGGCGCCATTTAAGCATTGACATCCTAATGCCTTCGACGCCTCACCGTTTGGGCGTTGCGTGCAATCCTCCGACGGGGCAGTCCCTGAGCAGGGCTGATTGAACATGATAATCAAGACTGCACTGGATCTCAGGTCCTCAACAGACTCGGTCACATTTCTTCAGCCAGGGATCTGTCTAGCGGCTTTACTTCCCCATAAGGCTAAAAAGGCTTCGAGACTCCGTAACTGCCAGATTGGATAAAAGACGCAAAGAGAGCGACTCACGAACCTGCAGATGCAGACGCCACCGTTGAGACCCCATCTGCCGGCTCAAGCACCAACGCACCCTATTTGTCGCCGTCCTGGGTATTGATCAACCAGTTCCCAGGCAGTTGGGTGGCTTGTCGGTTGCGCTAGATCCAACGCCCAGGACAGGACAGGACCAACTGCCACGCACCTAACGCTAGGAATCACCATCCATGGAAGGATGTTGGCTTAATTACAGGCTACAGTAGGGCACGGCTTGCTTCCGGGCTAGAAGCCGACTCGCTCTGTTTCTTCGGAACCTCTTTAGCCTCTTGTGACTGTGCTCTGTGGATTGCATGGTCTCAATATGTGACGACGGTGTGCAGCAAATAGAGCCCAGGCCGTCGTCACTCTCCTGCGCTGAGTCGATTTGAGTTGAGGCTTCAACTCTTCCTTTTGCTTTGCTTTGCCTTGCTGCGTAGCGCACGAATTTCAGCACGGCCAAGGCGAAAGAAAGCACGGGCTTGGTCCGCTCTCTGCAGGAACCGCAAGCTTACGGAAGTATTTGCAGCTGTCAAATCGTACATTACCCCCCGAGTTTCCTGCTCGAGTCTGATCTCGTTTGGTGGCTTGTACTACTTTGGCATTTCTGAGTCGACCAACTGCCACCAAATTTTGTTCTTCTCCAAGGATGGATCAACTTCAGAGTCGGGTCGAGAAGGCAGACCTGCAGGATTTGATTGACATATGCGAGCAACTTTCCGAGGAGTGTAGGGGTATCTCTAATTGTCTCAATACCAGCCCAGTTACGTTGGCTTCGCTCGCCAAGGAGTGTCGCGCGATCACAAATGCGCTTGACAGGTTACACGAACTCAGCCGGTCGATTGAAGGTGGCACAGAAAGTGTTCGGGCATCAAACAACGAATTCGTCTATTCCGTTTCCAAGGATGTGCATGAGCTGAGGGCAGCACTGAAACGCATAAAAGGTCCAGATAGGGACAGCGGCATTCACCTCAGCGAACCGCAGCTTATCATCGTCTGGAACGAAGCAGCATTGAAAGAGTACCTTGCGCGGCTGCGCACTCACCAAGCGTCTCTCCATACCCTCCTCAATGCTGCGACACGGCAAGTAACCTTCTTTTCTAGGTGCACTGGTTCAAGGCTAACTCTTAGTAGTGCCGGTTATAACTTCGGGGAAAATGACAACAGGAGGCGTGTGATTGAGCCAGATATTGGAGTAGATGAGGCACTACGGAGCCTTGCTCGAAAGTTCACAGCGCCAAACCAACAATCTGTCGTGTTACCTAGAGTCAGCGACTCTGCCGAGATTCAAGTCCTACTTGATACCCTTGTACCACCACCTGGAGTCAATTACGTGCGAACCAAAGATGCCGCAAATGAACTGCACAACGCCATTGAACGGAGCGATGAGACGGCTGTCTTTCACATCCTTCTCGAACGCGCAGACCCCAACATAATGTTGGCTGGTTCAATGCTCTCCCCGCTGCATCGTGCTTTCGACAAAGGCCATATGCTAATCGCTGCTTTTCTCATTGTCGCTGGCGCAGATGTTGACGAGCCAACTACTGATGGTCATACAGCATTGATGAGAGGGATCAGGTGCGGATTTTCGGAACAATTTGCGACTCTTGTGATTCACATGAAAGCTCGCGTCAATGCGATCGATAATGATGGGTGCTCAGCCCTACACCTCTCGGCTGCTTCAGATGTCGTCGACGATGAAACGCTCCCAGTTCTCATCGATGCAGGCGCCGATGTCAACCTTGTCGACTATAATGGCCAGACACCACTTCTCGTGGCAATTCAGCATAGCCGCTGGTCCGCGGCAACAAAGCTCGTACAAGCTGGTGCAGATCTAGAGGTGCGGTTACCAGATGGGAAGACAGCACTCCACATGGCTATCGCAATGCGCAACCAAGAGTTCTCCCAGGTGTTGATATCTCGAGGAGCAAACGTTGATCGCGTACTCCGCGAGCACACTCCCCTCACAATGGCCATCAACTCTCGCTGCACAGCTATCACCGCTGTTCTTCTAGATAGCGGTGCAGACCCAAATCTGCCTAGCCGCAACGGAAACACACCTTTACTGGCAGCAGCATCCACAGGACATGACGAAACTGTGCGATATCTCATCGCCCATGGAGCCGATCCAGCAGCCACTCAAGGACACTCTGGATATTCAGCGATGCATATGGCGGCCCACAAGGACAAACCTCACATCCTGCAGCTGTTGTTTGATGCAGGCGCACCCGTTGATATCTTGGATAAGACAGGCGAAACTCCTCTCCTCGTGGCAGCCAAGCTTGGCAATGCGCAAAGCATCTTTCGCTTGATCAGACTCGGTGCTGATGTGGAGCGAGTTGGGCCGGACGGGATGAGCATTCTTTCTCACGCAGTCAAGATGGGCGATGTTGACCTTGTCACGGCACTCCTAGAGCTGGGGGCGGGTATGCAGGTGTCATCCATGTTCCCTTCGAAGGGTAGTAAAGAATATCTGGTACCTGAGCCACAGACGACACCGATTCACGTCGCCGCTCAGCACGCACGAGACGAGATCATACTGCGGCTTGTGTCCTATGGCGCCTCCCTCGAGAGCACCATCTTCCCTGGCCGGACACCTCTCTCCGTTGCTGCATCTCATGGGCACATCTCGACAGTCAGGTTGCTTCTTCGACTCGGTGCAAATACGCACGCTTTAACAACACATGGTGATACGATTCTTTTCCAGGCATCGGCAAACCAAGCAACCCTCAAGCTCTTGCTACAGCAGGGAATTGACGTGAACCATCAGAACGATCGGGGCGCTACAGCCCTTCACTACGCGGCTCTTCGCGGGCACATCGGGGGTGTGAGGATGTTGCTTGAGAAGGGTGCTCGACAGTACCACGCAAACGCGGTGTGGGATGCCTGGGAGGACAGAGACGGAACTGGAGATTATCGACAGGGCACACCAGCTGGCATGGCCATGCAAAGAGGTCTGGACAAGGTCGCGGAGTTAATTGAGGGATGGAAGTATAATTGACTTTGGTGTAATACTCGGCGATAAGATTATGATTTAATGGATGGAGTAATGGCTGAACGGCGGAACTGTATCCCCTGTATATACTATGGGTTTGGGTTTGGGCTCGATGAGATACCACAAAAGAATTGTTATAATTTGGCGAGATAGTATTCATGTTTAGTGTTTGTTTGTAACATGCATTATCTATGACTACTTGCATCAGCCGTGAACAAAAGCCGTGAACGGAGTGTAAGCCGTGTATCGTCGAATGCTATGCACGTTGGTATAAACCCATGCATAGTCCTCTATATCCGGATCCACGTGCTGCGCTGTGCAATAGCTAAGCTTTTCAGCCCTAGCAATGTCCCATGTCCATTACCAAAAGCGAGAGGTAGCTGAGTGACAGTTACGGATACGAAAAGTCATGAAATGCGAAATTACTTACTGCAACGACAGCAAACTACCGCGCCGTTCGAACGAGATCCAATCAAAAAAAAAATGACGTGATGGTAAGATTAATTATCTACCTAGCCCGGTAATTAATTGATAAATTGCCATCAGCCGTGAGCAGGACCTCTCGGCCTAACCACCAACACCCTATTGGTGCATACGAATACGGGACGTCATGACGGCGTTCAAGTGTTGACGTAATAGGCACGAGTGATGATGGGCGAGGCAGTGCTCAACGGAAGAGTTGATGATGGACGCCTCTCAATTCTACTACTGGCAAGGTTTTGATGAGTTGTGCTGTCTCGAAGTCTCGTGATCTGTAGCCAAGAAAGCAATAGAAGCTCAACATTTGGCCAAAGTAATCTCTTCTTCATCATATTCTTTCTTGTCTTGTATCTGATCGGCCCATTACCCCTTTCAGTTTTCAGTTTTGAAACCTAGTCCCACTTCACTTCTACAAGACGGACTAACTCAATCAGATTCACCGTTACAAGATCTCGCCAAGCTTGGAGCCCTTATTTATATCCAACACTTGAATTGCGCTGCCTCCGTCATCGATAATAAATAGCAGGCCCCAATCGAGCCCTTCATCTGCAGTGTAACTATCACCCAATCCAGGCCGGCCCCGCGTGCTCCATCTTGTCTGGCTCGTCCTGAGCTTTTAGCTGTCCTCCCCCCTGCTTCTACAACCCCGCAATCCGCAATCGGCCCCTCGTCAACTGCTACGCTACTGCTACTGTACACGAGACCGCCTTCAAAATCTCCTGTCCCGTCGCAAACCCTCCCTTTTCACTCCTCGAATTTTCTACACACGGCGCAAATATACAATCATGTCCTCTTCTACAGCCCCAGCCGCTCAGGCCAACAGCGGCAGCTGGTCCGCCTTCCTCAAGGTAGATATAGATGTCTAACTCTATGCTTTTGCGTGCTTGGAGCGATTCGTATTTGGGTGATGACAGTAGCTGACCTCGTCTTTGCGACGTGCTCTAATAGTCCATCGCTTCCTTTAATGGCGATCTATCTTCTCTCACCGCGCCTCCCTTCATCCTGTCCTCTCAGTCTCTCACCGAATTCTCTGCGTACTGGGCCACGCACCCTCCCGTCCTGACCGCCCCAGCTGTCGAGTCTGATCCCGCCAAGCGAACTATGCTCGTCCTCAAATGGTTCCTCTCGACTCTGAAACACCAGTACGCCAGCCGAAGTGAGCAGTTTGGAAACGAAAAGAAGCCTCTGAACCCTTTCTTGGGTGAGCTTTTCCTCGGTACCTGGTCCGACGAAGCTGGCGAGACCACCCTTGTCTCAGAGCAGGTCAGCCACCATCCTCCTGCTACCGCCTATTGCATCCGCAACGACAAGACTGGTATCGAGCTTGAGGGTTATAATGCTCAGAAGGCTACTTTCAAGAGCACCATCATTGTCAAGCAGATCGGCCACGCCGTCCTACGAGTTCCTCTTCCATCTGGAGAGATTGAATCCTACCTCATTACCCTCCCTGGTCTTCATATCGAGGGTCTGATCTTTGGTGCTCCTTTTGTCGAGCTTGATGGCTCAAGCCACATCACTAGTTCCAGTGGCTTCACTGCCAAGATTGACTACAGCGGCAAGGGCTGGCTCTCAGGAAAGAAGAACACCATCGTCGCCAGCGTCTATCCTACGGGCAAGGAGAAGGATGTTCTTTACAATGTCACTGGCCAGTGGAACAAGGCCCTCGAGATCTACTCAGGACCTGCCAAATCTAACTCCAAGTCGACTCTTGTGAGCACCTACGACGCCGTCAACACTGCTCAGACCGAGCTCAAGGTTGCCCCCATCGATCAACAACACCCTCTCGAGTCCCGACGCGCCTGGTCTCGCGTTGCTGATGCTATCCAGAAGGGTGACATGGACACAACAGGTGCTGAGAAGGGTAAGATTGAGAATGCCCAGCGTAATATGCGCACCAAGGAGAAGTCTGAGGGGCGAACCTGGGACCGTCAGTACTTCACCGCTGTGGAGGGTCGAGACTCTGTCCTCGAGCAGCTTGGCATGCTCGTCGGTGTACCTACTGATGGAGAGGCTGATAAGACTGGTGGTCTCTGGCGATTCGATAAGACCAAGGCTGATGCTCGCGCTGCCCAGCAGCTCTCGGAGGATGCTATAGCCCAGTTGGAGAAGGAGCTTCTTGGTCGATAGGCACGCCAAACAAGATACCAAAGCAAGATGAGAAATAGGAACGGGAAATGGTGATTGTGCAGTGCATAACACACAAATCACCAAGATCATGCGTATAAAGGTGCAAAGTGAAACCAAAAGAGACGGGCATGGGCATGGGTTAGAATACACGGCGCTCGGTAAATGTTCTCTGGTACAAGAGGCATTCCGCGACGAACCACGGGAGACTCAGACGGTTGGTTTGTATAATAATTGACAGGCTATATATGTTCTACGATTAATGACATGACTTTTTCATGTTTTCTAAGTTGGTATCTAGTCATCCACATCCAGAAATCGCGTTGTTGCAAGACCCTATCTCACTTTATCGGCCTAAAGTCGTTTCTACCTTGAAATCACATATTCCCATTGTAGTACAGAACACTCAGGCTGTTTGTACGTCGTCAAATTTTTTTCTTCATTAATTTTACTACTTTCGTCGCCTCGTAACGCCCCTGCAACTAAACACTGCTATGTTGTGTCGGAACCAAGGTGAGGGCATTTTCTAGATCCCTCTTTTTCTTTTCCAAACTATACTCATGAATTGTGCCGCAGTTGGGATATCATTAGAACCAGTTATCGTCTCTTATCGATATTTATAGCTGGTTGGCAGTGTTGAAGTCCTGGAGAGCCTCGGCAACACGCTTGGACATGGTCTTCTCACCCTCACGGACCCAGACACGGGGCTAGATATAGCGTTAGTACATTATAATACATATACAGTGATGCGGTGGGAACTTACGTCGAAGTACTTCTTGTTGGGCTTGTCCTCGCCATCGGGGTTGCCGACGGTGGTGTTGACGTACTCGCGCTTGTTGACCATGTAGTCTCGGATGCCGGAGCAGTAAGCGAACTGCATGTCAGTGTCGACGTTAACCTTGACAACACCGAAGCCAATGGCGTCAAGGTACTCCTTCTTGGAGGAGCCAGAGCCACCGTGGAAGACGAAGAAGACGGGCTTGTCGTTGTCGGACTTGAGGGCCTCCTTGACGTGAGCCTGGTGCTTGCCGAGAAGCTCGGGGTGGAGCTTGACGTTGCCGGGCTTGTAAACACCGTGGACGTTACCGAAGCCAGCGGCGATAGAGAAATAGGGGGAGATGGGGGAGAGGGTGTTGTAGATGTTGAGGATATCCTCGGGCTGGGTGTAGAGAGAGTTGTTGTCAACATCCTCGTTGTTGACACCATCCTCCTCACCACCGGTGATACCAATCTCCATCTCGAGCCACTGCTTCATGGGGGCAGCGCGCTTGAGGTACTTGGCGGTGGTCTCAATGTTCCACTCGACGGGCTCCTCAGAGAGATCGATCATGTGAGAGGAGAAGAGGGGCTCGCCCTTCTCCTTGAAGTAAGCCTCGTCGGCATCGAGCATGCCATCGAGCCAAGGAAGGAGCTTCTTGGCGCAGTGGTCGGTGTGAAGGACGACGGGGATGCCGTAGGCGGGAGCGAGCGAGCGGACGTAGTGGGCAGCGGCGATAGAGCCAGCAATGGAAGCGGCCTGGTCGGTGTTGCTCACACCCTGAAGAGTGCGTCAGTATATTGACGCGATTGAGAAATTTGTTGGGGGACATACCTTGCCAGCGAAGTAGGCGGCACCACCCTGAGAGAACTGGAGGATGACGGGAGCCTTGTTGTCGCGGGCGGCCTCGAGGGCAGCAACGACGGTGGAGGAGGAGGTGACGTTCTGTGATGTTTGTGTTAGTCGCGACGGTTTGCGTTGTTTTTTAACGGTTGAGACATACAATGGCGGGAATGGCGAACTTGTGCTCGCGAGCGTACTCGAAGAGTCGGAGGACATCGTCACCGACGATGACACCAGTCTTGCGGCTAAGGACTTCTTGGACACCCATTGTTGCTGTTTGTGAAGCTTAGGTTGGATAAAAGATTTAGGTTGAGATGAAAAATGTAGAAGAAAAAAAGTCTATTGAGCAAGAAAGTCTGTCAGTTATGAATGAAGAGGAGCAGAGCAATGACGAAGGAGGGGGGTATAGCGGGGTTTTCAATCCCACTCTGTTTGATCGTTATCGATAAATAAAGCCAAAAAAAAAAAACAGAACACGGCAAGGGGTAGAGTGGCAGTTACGGCGTTTTGGAGGGGCAGGGAGGGGCAATTCTGACGCTCTTGCCGAGAGATGCTCTGTGCGGGCCAGAATGAGTTCATCAGATTGAGGCCATGAGCTGTTTACAACATCCAACAGCTGTGTCGGTGAGGCATAAAGAGAGGCCATGATAAGACCGCGGATCTTTTTCTCATCTCGCCAGGAACGCTCGTCTAATGCATCTTGCAGCATGCTGCTCCTCGATTGGCGAGAACGGAGATACGTCGCGAATCGTCTGATACTGACGGGCCGTAAATTGAGTTCCGTGAGGCTTTAGAACTGTTG